TACCCTTCTACAATTTAGAAGCAAAAAGTGCTTATTGTGGCCATTTATGATAAATTTTTGTTTGTAATTTCTACCAATTTAGTTTTCTTCTTTGGGTGGTTAGACTTTATCTAAGTTAATTTAGAACCAAAATTTGTAATATATTTTTTTAATATATTTCTAATTGTTTAGATTAGGTTGTTAATTGTTAGATCCTCCCATTAATTTGAGTAATTAAGAACACACCAGGTCCTAGGTCGGGGTCGATTGTTTGGTAAATCTCTGGTGTGGACGGAAGGGACATTTTTAGTAATTATTTTGTTTCTGCTTTCCCAACAAATAAATCAGGTGGGAAGTGGGTGCAAATCCAAAGCACCTGTTACCACCCAGGTCCTTTTTTGGATATGTTGGTCTTTTTTTTTTTGGAACAGAAGGATGCGACACTGCTGATCACTAATATATGCCACCCGGCTGGCATTATGGAGAGATAGCCAGTGTTATTATGTTATGCCTGCTTGATGTTTCTTACTTTAATTCACATTTTCAGTTGTTACTTACAGTCCAATTCATCCTCCCCGTCAACAATTTTGAGTGACGGATCCTTAGGATCATAACACTTCTTCTTTGGAGCGGGTTTATTGGATCCCGATTTCATCCGCAGCCTTAACCTGAAGAGAAATAATAACTATTAATTGAACTATCAATTTCCTTCCCAAATCATGAACTGTGTTTGGTATTGAAAACGGTTATTAACAAAGAGCGGAGCAGAATAACTGTTGTTTATTTTCCTTAAGCGCGCGCCGCGTTACAGCAAATCTATTTCCACTGATTATATTACTGGAATAAATACCCAACATGTAAATGAATAAAGGCCTGTTTACCTGCGGAAGTCTAGTCTTGGCGTGAAGATCTTGGACATTTCTGCTTTTGGATTGGACGCGTTTCATTCATCAAAACCATGAGAAATGAGAAAAGCGCAGCTCCGACTGAACAGGATGACTTCAGCAGACTGATTGGATCAGTCTGAGTCTGCGCAAACAGCCCACTTCTTCATTACAGGTTTATGTGCTGGAGAAAATAACCATCAAAATAACCTTGAAAAAAGCAACAACAACAAAAAAAAAGTTTTAAAAAGCACAGATCAACAAGGAGAGAAGCTGGAAATTATGAGTCGCAGTTTTGGATTTTGGTGCTGAAATATCAGATACAAAAGGAGCCATCCATCCCACACCGAACGATATGGGCCATTTTGTTACCTACTGCTTTAGCCATTAGTTATTTATTTATTTTAATTTTTTTTTATTATATATACATTATCTACGTTTATATTAGTTAATGAAAGATAATAAAAACAGAAGGTAGGTGTTTCAGAGGCGATCATCATTTTGTGAACAGCAAAAAATATTTAACAACCAGTGTATTTCTCAATGGAGTTATCAATTCAGGGCTCTTTTTTGACTATCAAACTAGGTGTTTAAAAAAGTAGCTAAGATTAATGTTTTTATGTAGGCTACACGAATAGAAAATATAATGGGATTATAAGGTGCGGGTAGGAAAGAGGGCGTTCAAAGGGAGAGAAGGTCATAATTTTTCTATTTAGCTTTCATCTAAAAACAGATCATCAAACCAGTTTTTGCCAAAAATAAATAAAACTATCAGAGAGTAGTCTTAAAATGGACTTTCTGTGAGATAGGCCTACTAGAGAAAAAGAATATGAGACAATGTATGATATAAATATATTTTTTTTAATCACGTGTAGTTTGTCCTATAGGTTTTTCAATGCAATAATATATTAATTGAAAAACAAAAACATATTTTTCTTCCTCTAAAGGCTCTTTATAGTATTGTGCTTCTTTTAATTGTTGTGTTATGAACGGGATTATAACTTCTCGGAATAGCCTATGCTTGCGGAAAATCTATTTTGAAAATAGTTTTCCTGGTTAGATAAAACAGCTTGGAAGGTAAAACATGGTCATGTGTTTTGACCTAAATTCCTGGACTTTTTTTTTATTTTGCTTTCGCTTTAAAGAACACGCCCATTTTATATCCTATAAAGGCCACGAACCGGTGGCAAATCAAATCAGATCACAGACCTACAGCTCAGACAAAGAACCATCATGTGCAAAACAGATCTGCTCCTCCTTTGCTCCAACCTCGGAGAGGTCAGCTATGTGAACACCAAGGGCCCTCTGGGGAAGATGACTGTTCTGGAGCTGAAGAAATATGCGGTGGATACCTTTCCTAAATCAGGTAGGCCTAAAAAGCTATTTTATACATGTTGTCATGAAGGGACTTTTAGGTGCAGTTTGAAATCAATAAATAAAAATAAAATAGGATAGTTTATACGGACTGCTTACATAATACCTTTTTGATAATATAGTTATTTCTATTTTAACCATAGGCAGTTCTCTGCACAAACAACAACAAAATATAATGACAGCAGTCTATGGAGGATGCCCTCGTTTTTTTTAAATTCATACTTGGTTTTTGTTGTTGTTGCTGTTTGTTTGTTTTTGATTGTTTGTTTGTTTGTTTTTTATTGTGCAGGACCAACCCTGGATGACATCAAGCTGGTTGTCGGGGACAAGCCTCTGGATGATGACTCTGCTTCCCTCTCTGACTACAACATCAAACCCAACACCAAGGTTCAAATGGTCAGGAAGGTGAGCGGAGGCTGAGAGGCAGCAAGAGACAGAGACACCTGAAGTCTGTCATTGGGATGGAGCAAAGGAATGGACTGATGGGGAGGTTTGGGAACATTTACGCAACAGAGACATCAGCTCTACATTTGATGACATCTATTTTTAACTTTACTTACCCTTCCTGAATGGTATCATAGCCATTTTCATTTATGGTAGCACTTTGATGATTTTCTGTTTGGTTAAAATTAGGAACTTTTTTTATGTTTCTGATTATGATGTGGAATTGTAGTTAGTGTATAAAGTGGTCTTGTAAATAATAACCACCTGATTCTTCAACATAATGTTGGAATGAGTTTACAAATGTTCATAAATTGTGAATATGTAAGAAATCTATTCTGTAGCATTATCTAAATTATTATGGAAAAATCCAATAAAATATTTTTTATAAAATGTTCTTTGTTTGATGTATTTATTCTTTGACTCATCTATCCACCAAGGCCTAGTTTATATTTATTTACCTATTTATTATAAATGCTATATATTTAGTAATTCATGAAGTTGTATTTCTACTTTTAACTTATTCAGCAGTTTAATAGTTGTTTTTTTAGACCAAGATATCTTATTTTTATATTATCTTTTTTATTATTATCCTTTTTTCATTTATGTACTTGTTAATTTGTATCAGTATGTTTTTATGAAAAATCAAACCCCTTTGCCAAATCTTAACTAAAAATCTTAGAATTTAGCAAACATGAATATAGCCTTAAGCAAGCCTAAAATATTGAGAACTCACTGCAACTGCAAAATAGTGGAATAATACTGGAAAAATATTACTGATTGTGACAGTGAAAGACAGTACTGTGGGAGTTAGAGTTAAATATTAGCTTTAACAAAGTTGTTATTGGTTTTTTTTTGTGATTTGGCAAAGTATACTTCTTGTTTTCTTTTTGTTAAATGTAATCTGGGGAGCTGCCTGATGGATGACAATGGGGAAAATACTGTATCCATGTTTTAGAACTATAGAAGGTCTTTAATCATTTTTTAGATAATTACAAACATCTCTTTAAAATGACATTGGCTGTTCTTTTTTTTGTTGATTTTCCTTTTGAGCTGATGACAGCATTGAGAAAGAATGATCACAGTATAAAGCTAAATAAATGAAAACACGAGAGCCTGCTGGCAAAAACAAATATGACATTTAGATACAAACAGAAAGCAGCTGAACTAGGATTGGGCTTCCTCCAGATAGATTTAACTTTTTAATTTTAATTTTTATTTAACTTTTTTAAAACTTTTTTTTATTTTTTTTTTTATTTTATTTATTCAAACTAATTTATACCTGCTGCTGAAAACACTATTAAAATTGTATGTATGAACTTTAGAAAATATTGGGGATTAGGTATTTTGTGTATCAAATTAAATCAATAAAATAAAACTTGCATTGCAAGTTACAGCTTCTAGGGCAGGGGTAACCAATTAAAATTCAACGGGGTCTGAATAAAGAAAATCATCAACCAGTTAACGTCCAGAGACATTTTTAATTATGATCTGTTACTTTAAACTGAATTTAACAGTGAAATAAAATACATGATTTTATGCATCCAAGTTATACATTGACTTTTTAAATAAAGAAATATTTTAAAAAAAATAGAACATTGTGGAGGTTCCTCCATCTTTTCCTCCGTGTTAGTATTTCTTTATTTATTTAAAGGTCTTCACACAATAGATTTATAATTTCACTTTTGTGGTGTTTTTTGGCATTAGGTTGTTTACTATTATGGGTGCACACATTTAGTAAACACCTTTTGGTTATTTGAATTATTAACTACTTTTCTTTGCTGAGTTTGAAGGACTGGCTGAGTGGAGAGGACTGGTTCAAAGGCAAACCAGGAAGTGGGACGTACCATCAGGTTTAGTGTCCTGGTGGTTAGATAGTACACATTACACTACTTGGAGCATCTGTCAATATTCGAAGTTTAATAAGCAGACTGTAAGTGTCCCTTTAAAAAATTGGTAAAGAAGAATGTAGGTGAGAAATTTCCCTGTTAAGGTACAATAAACTAACTAAAAACATTTTTTGGTGGTATTGTCACATAAGTTAGGGAGGAAAAAAAGATTTTAATAAATAAAAATCAGCATTTCAAGTTACAATAACATAGACTTAAATGTTGGGAAACTTAAAAAGAAAAACTTACGTGATTAAGTTTAGGTACTAAACTCAACAGTTCCTGAAGTTTTGTTCCTACATATTCTGAGTTCTCACGTTTTCAAATAAACTAAACGCAGTGTGGAATGTTGATCCTATCATTAGTCTCTACCCAGAAATGAACAACCAGCTGTTGAAAATCCAGCTACCTATGTTTAAACATGATTAGGCTACATGCATCATTCTTGTGGAGAACAGTTTAAACATTCTCTAAGGTTAGGATTAGAGCTGTAAGGGTTATTCACTGCAGTTGAATCTCTGGTCAGGTTACGGGTTGTTAAACCAGTCTCTTCCTCTGAAGCAGAGAGATTTAAGGCTTTGAGTCACACAACTAGGACACCACAGATATTAAACAACGTTGCAGTGTGCAGATTTTTTTATTTACAGATAAAAGGAATAAGAAATCTCTGTAATTCCTGTAAGCTGTATATCCTCTTTATCTGTTTGGCACCAACAAGCAGAGCGTGGGAATTACCTAGCTTACCAGCATTGTTTATGTTTGATTAGCAGGTTTCTATTTGCCTGCTGGATCATCTGGTACTTTCACATGTTTGTTTAAAAGAACATTTTAATCTCCATGGTGACAAACCAGCAATCAGAAGAATAGCAATAGAAACCAGCAGCCAAAATAAGGTTATATAAGCATACCAAGCAGTGTCGTTGTTTTGGCTGGCGACCTTTGCCAGAGCAAAACTGAAAGTAGAGGAAAAGGGTTGCAGGGAATTTCTTGAACCTTAAATCTTATGCGGGTTAATTGTTAAATACTAGTTTCACCGAGGCTAGCACATACCATCCATTGTTGGCCTGGTGACCTTTACGGCAAGTCTTCTCCCTTCCTCCCCTCCCATTTCCCATCTACCTACTTTCAATATAAGAAAAATAAAGGCCACTGCAGCTTTTGAATAATCTTTAAAAAAGTGCATTATTTTATCAATAACAGTGAAAAAAATCCAGCACCTTAAGTATTGGTGGAAAACACCAGCAACTGCACACAAGTTACTACCGATGATTTGTCCTTTAACCCAAAAATCAGCTTATGTTACTAGGAGGAACATTTGGTAGTTTTGAGCAAATAATGGCCAAAGAAAAAAGAGTGAAGGATTGAGTTTGGCAAGAGACGTGAAAGAACCCTGATTTTCTTTACTTTGGGCCATTTTAAGCTAAACATCACCACTGTCAGCCTGCAGTGGACCAATGTGCAACAATAATTCAAAATGTTTTCAATGAATCGCATGAGCAGATCAACATATGGATAATTAAGCTTTATTAAGAGAAAAAAACTTATAGGGAGGTGGACGGTATGGAGCAAGCTAAAATTTAGACATTTACACTGGGGAACAACTCCAGAGGATCCAGCAAGACAATGAAGGGATTGAAAACTTAAGTAGAGGAAAGGGTGCATTTAATAATGGTAACACAGGGGAACTGAATCTACTAAGGAATCTACAAATGACTAAGAAAGAAATGTTTAAACATGGGTAAACAGTGAAAGACACAAGAGAAAATGATTAAAAAATATATAGGAATATTCTCTAACTGAAGTAAAGACAAAACCACTAGAAAAACTAGAAAATAAGCAAGAGAAATAAACCAGTAAAACTTAAAAAGGTGAATATAAGACAAAACAACAAAGATATAACATCAAAAGATACAGCATCATACTAGACAGAAAATTAACGAGTTACAGTCAGTTGTCATCCAATACCTATGTGATAACAATCTAAGGGCTCAATAGCATTAGTCTGGCCTAGTGTCCAAGTAAAAGTCTTCGGCATTGACCATCCCCCAAAACGTCAAGAAAATTCAGGATCCCTTCCTTGGTCCTCCTTCAGCAAATCATTAAACTTACAGTATGTAACAATTACTGGGATATATTCACATAAATGTAATATATTATCTCTATGTATGTTATTTATTATCCCCTGTGAACTGAAGGTTTCCATCTCTATATTTGTCTTGCATTAGAAATTGCTTTTTATAATTACATAGGAGTGAGTTCCCATTTGTGGAATGGTTCATCTTTGCACTACAGCAGCTCAAAGCTGACAAACTAGTGACTGTAGAGATATGCATTAGACTTTATTGGGACTGTGGCAAGTTAGGGCTACATACAATCCTACACAGACTTATAAGATACTATCTATGCATTTATCTATGTAAACTATACTTTCACAAGCCACGACCGCCCAGTTATTACTTTATGAGGAGTGTTGGCCCAGTGATGTGGTGTTTGTGGTCTCTGGGATAAGAAAAACCTACTGTACAATGAAATAAATTGGTGGTATTTGAGATAACAAATCAAAATCCAAAGAAATATTTCTTTCTCCAGACTGGGATAGCTGTCTGTCTTGGAGCAACACCACTGGAGCACGGTGCTAAGATGCCGCTTGTTTTAGAACATTCATTAAAAGTCTTCAGACACACAAAACAGAACTTGACCTTACACCGGGGACAGGTAAGGTGTTTGCAGTGGTTTCCTTTATGCTCCAGCAGTGATCCGCAGGTGGGACAGGCCCGGATGGAGGGACAACTGATAAATGCTATTGTTGTATCAGGGCAGGTTTGCAGAGTTTGCAGCACGGTGTTGCTGCAGCCTTCGTTCTCACAGCTGTCCCACCGCGGCTTCGGTCCTTTCCATTCCCTCAGGCACTGCCAGCAGAATTCATATTGACGTCCTTTTTTTGCTGTGCACTCTTTGCAGCTGACACAAAGATTAAATTCATTTTGTCTTGCAACATGGGACATGCATCCAGGACACTGCGAAAGTGAGATTTAAATCGAATGATCTCTCCAAACAATCTAAGCTGTAAAATAAAAAATCCAATAATCTATTAATACTTACTCTTCTTTTATTAGAAGCATTGAAGTCCATGTTCATTTTAAAGTACTTGATTTCCTGAGTAGTCAGTTGAGCCATCTTGCACACCTCTTCAAAAGGCCACACAGCATCACAGCCAAACACAGCACACACAAAGGTGTTTTGTCCCTTTAGAATAATGAGAAAAAAACACATTGGTCAATAAAGTCGCTATTTAGGGACAAATTCTCTCATTAATCGTTCATATTTAAACCATCTTACATCTTCCAGCAGCTGAATACACCATTTAGTGAGAGACATCGGGGTGACTGCATGACCACAGGACATCACTGCTTTTGGAGACTCAAACTCTTCACATAAAACTGAATGACAGGACAGATATAACTCAGGACCGAATGCATGAAAACTTTCACATACTCTGATTAGGCAAAAAGTTATTTAAGAACAAAACATTAGCTTTTGTATTTTTTAATTTATTGGTGAATTATGTTTTAGTTTTGTTTAGGCTTTGTAGGAGCCAATAATTTTTTGTCAATAATTAAAGTTTTTTAATTTTGTAGGTAATCTAGCTAAGTTTATTGTACTTTATTGGTTGATATATGTTATGATATATATATATATATCCTCCTTTGTTTCTGGTTAATAATGATTAATTTGGGTGAATTGTTTTTATAAATAGGCTGTCTATGGTATAGGACCAGCATGCATCTCGTTTGGTGTATTGTTTTTTTTTTTTACCAGCGCAAGAGAAGCATAGAGGAAATAATTGTCCTTTTCTGTTTGCTTGCCTGAGGAGAAATTAAGAAAACTTAAGGAGTTTATCTGGAACTTTTTTTTTCTTTTGCCTTCTTAAATTACTCGTCCGTTTTTCATCTGTGGCCTTTGTCGACCTTTTTTGTATCACCAAAGCTGGGTCACAGCAGGCTTCTTTTAGACCGTAAGGTAATTTGCCTTTGTTTTATTTTATTAACTTCCTCCACCAATTATGTGCTTTCCATTTACTTTTTGTCTTTTTTCAGTTTTTTTTTTCATGGTTTCATCATCTTTTTGGTATTGTTTAGCTTATATTTAGAAATTTTCTTTTCAGTTCCTGTTTCCCTGTTGTGTAAGGTCACTGTTTCCCCTCCAGGTGATGATAAATGTCAAAGTAAACACCTTCTTACTACATCTGCCTCATATATGGACCCTTCTACACTTTAAATGCTAAATTTTAACCTGCAGCTCCCCAATATATCTCACCCATCAACAGCTGACATTATGAAGAAATCAGTGTTATCACCTAACACGTAGGTGATTATAATGTTATGCCTGGTTGGTGTGCCCTGCTTTAGGTCACAACAGAGGAAAAATTTACTTGGTTAGAACTGATCATTCTCTGCTCTTACTTACAGTCCAATTCGTCCTCCCCATCAACAAATGTGAGTGAGGAATCCCTAGGATTATAGCACCTCCTCTTTCGAGAGGGTTCATCGGAGTCCATTTGCATTCGCAGCCTGAAGAGACATAAAAGGAAAAACGATCATTTTCCTTCCTAAAGCACAAACTTCTTTTAGTTTATAGCTATTAACAAGCAGAATAAATAATCAAATTAAATTTTCTTAAGCGTGCACCACACTGCAAAAATTAAAATCTAAATAGGTAATTTTTTCTTAAAATAAGTGTATTTTGTCTTGCATTGATGAGGTAAGTGAGACACTTTGCGAATGGAACATTTAAAATAAGAAAAAGCAGCTGCATTGTCTTATTACAAGTGCATATAATCTAATCATCTTTTTTTAAGAGTAAAAATACTCATCCTATTGGCAAATCATCCCATTAACCCCGCGGTTCTCAAAGTGTGTGGCGCGACCCACTAGTGGGGAATTGAGACGTGACAGGTGGGGCGCGCCAAGTTCCGGTGTGTGCGTGTGTGTTGTGTGACTATAAATGTAGAACGTGTGAGAGCAAACTGTTCTTATATGTTGCCGCTTTTTAGACCAATCAAACCCACAAAGTAATCCTTACTAGCCTACATGCAGCCTAATTAAAAGAACA